CGCCTCCCCCTCCCCCTCCTCCCTTCGACATTCCCAAGGACAGAAGAGAGGGCATCTTGAAACTCTCCCATTCGTCGAAACCACTAGCTAATCTGCGGATGCTGGTTGTTCCACGTGATGACATCAGATTGAGATCCCGATCGAACGATCTGGAAAGGAAGGAGATCCCGCGGTCAGCGGACGATAATCCACCTCCGCCGACCTGCGCGCTGTCGCGCTCCGGCGGTCCTTCATCACCGGGGGGAGCCATGACACGTGGCGCGTCTTCAGAAGATCTCCTCCTCCTCCCCTTCCCCCTCCCCCTCTCCGCCTCCGCCTCCTGCCTCGAACAACAAGGCTATGGCGGACGACGACAACCCGAGAGTAACGTGGGCAACCTCTTCAGCCCAGCGGAATGAAAACTGCGCGGGAATAATCAAGCCTGTCAAACATTGGTAATCGTGAGAGAAAGAAAGACGAATAACGACAAAGAATAGGCGAAGAAGGAGAAAATAAGAGGGGGGGAGGGGGCGGGGAGGGGGAGACCGGGGGGCCAAAGGGGGGGGAACGGGGGGGAAGGGAGGGGGAGGGGGCGGGGTGAAGGTAATTCCGACTGAGTTGTACAGACGAAACGCACGCACGTCAGGGACGACGCGGATGGGAGGCGCGGAATTGGAGGCGGTGGCAGGCACGCGAGAAGGGGTAAAGCTCGCGGGCAGCGGGAAAGGAAACGCGCGGAGACGCCCCGGCAGGCTGCGCACGAACAGCCGCAATCGTGTGGCGTTCGTAGTGCGCGGCGCGGATCGCATCCGCGGCAGAGCGCGCGGGCGCGGCGCTGTCTGCAGCGCCGCGACTACCATTGCCCTCCCATCCCAGGACGGGATCTCAAAGCTGTCCACGTGGCAGCACAGCTACGAATTGCTCTCCTCTCTGCTTGTCGTTTTTTTTTTCGGGGGGGGGGGAAGTAAGGACTGCTTGTCCCTCCCCTCTTCCAGTGGTCACCGGGGTTGTTTTTTTTTTCCCCGGTTTTGGATCAGACGCCGACCAGGG